GAAAGAGTGCTTCACGTTCCCAAATGAAAAGAGCGTTACATTGACAGAGATGATGTCACAGCTCAACTCTGGCAAATGGTGTTTATCGAAGCTGGCAGAGGACTAAGTTGTGCTTGTGCTTCCACTTTTGCTCCCATGGCCGAGTGCTGTTTATTTAGTTGTTGACACCACCTTGAGGTACTAATGGATTTAAGGAGTCAAACTCAATGAACATTTAGGGGAGGATCACAACTGTCAACAGAAGCACCATCTACCATCTTGCTGGCCATTGTGAAACATCAGCCAGTTGCCAGAGTTGAGTCATAGCATTTACATCAACGTTTAGCTATTTTACAACTTAGAACTATCATATACTGTTGCAATGCATTATAATGTCCCATTGTCTTTGTTTTCCCCAAGAACTAATCACCTTGTTCATTTCTCTTAGGACAAGACCAGCGCTCTGAGCCTGAGCAATGTGGCAGGCGTTTTCTATATACTTGTCGGAGGTCTGGGGCTGGCCATGATGGTGGCTTTGATAGAATTCTGTTACAAATCACGGGCAGAGTCCAAACGCATGAAACTCACAAAGAACACCCAAAACTTTAAGCCTGCTCCTGCCACCAACACTCAAAATTACGCTACATACAGAGAAGGCTACAACGTGTATGGAACAGAGAGTGTTAAGATCTAGGGGTACGGTTAAGGTCTAGTAAACTAATCAGCTTATGTTATTGTATGTCAATCTCTTTTTCTTTTCTTGTTGTCTTTCAGTTTGGTTTGTTGTTTCAAGAATTGTCTATTTTTTGCAACCATTTGATTCTTTGAAAATAATGGTTGTGCTTTCTTGTCAGACAGTGGTGCTTTCCTAATAGCATAGTTGTAATTAAATTGTGGTCTGCGACCCAAAAGGAAAAACAATTCTCTAGAGCAGCACTGTTCAGTGGGAATATTTGCAAGCCACATGTGAACCACATGTGTAATTTTAAGTGCTCTTCTAGCCATTTCCTAAAGTAACACAAGCAAAATTAAGTTAATGATATATTTCATTTATCCCACTATATTCGAAGTATTATCATTTCAACTTGTTATCAATGTAAAAAGTGAATGAAGTGTTTTACATTCTTTTATATATACATATATATATATATATATATATATATATATATTGGCGGTACACGGGCCTCTCACTGCTGTGGCCTCTCCCGTTGTGGAGCACAGGCTCCGGACGCGCAGGCTCAGCGGCCATGGCTCACGGGCCCAGCCACTCCGCGGCATGTGGGATCTTCCCGGACCGGGGCACGAACCCGTGCCCCCTGCATCGGCAGGCGGACTCTCAACCACTGCACCACCAGGGAAGCCCTTACATTCTTTTCTTCATACTAAGTCTTAGAAATCAGGGGTGTCTTTTATACTTATGGCACATGTCAATTCACACTGGCCACATATCAAGTGTTCAATAGTCACATGTGGCTGGTGACTACCATATCGGACAGTGACGCTCTAGAGAAAGCAGCTCTCTGGAAGTGATGTCAAAATGAGGAATGGAAATGGGGAGCTGCTACCTCGAGAAAGGTAGTGCTTCTATAGGGGTGTGGTGGATCTCTTAAGTATAAGCCTGAGACAATTTCTTTGATCTTTGAGTTCCTTTGTAGTCCCTTTCTTGGAACTGATGTTCATTGAGGTAAGTGTCTCCCAAAGGACAGTCTAGGTTCCCTGCTGCTGGCTGTTCCCAAATTCATACTTAAATGGACCTGACTGATGCCACCTTGATTCTGGCAGCTATAGCCAAAACTCACCAATAACTCAAACATGTTCAAAGGCAAGCTTGAGTTAGGATAACATCTCCATTCTGGAAGTGTTTAAGAGAAAATAGTTTTGTCACCTTCACGTGCATCTGTCATCAGTAACACACCTATCCGCAGTGGAACAGAACAATTAGAAACTTTGTAGCCCTTATTTTAGGTAGATTTTTGACCTCTTGAGTCAATGTCCATGTGTTTGAATTTCTACAAATGCATCTGTGTTTTGACCTTATATTTCATGGTGCGGATCTAAATTCAGCCAATTTTTAAATAATATTTCATCCACATAAATCATTTGTCCTCACCATGGAAGGCATTATCTTGTTTGATGAAGTTGCTGGTTGTTCTTTCCTGCTGCAGGCTGCAGCCTTTTGCCACCGACTAACCCACTAACAAAGTGTTCCCATTGCATTGTTGAATGGACAATACATGGATTCATCTGCAATTAGCATTGTCTGCATGCAAGCATTTCATGTTCCAGTGTGCTTAAAATATTTTACTCTTGAGTAGGTTATATAGGCCCATTACAATTGGGGGCATGTTATTGCTTTCTCATAAGAGAGTACATGGGTGATTTCAGTCTAGCTTACTTATCCCAAATTCTGAGATATTGGCATCCAAAGAAATAATACACCTGAAATCTGTATGTCAGTTTTCCAAGTGCTCTCACATCTATTGCCTCAGTTGAGGTAATGGGGCAGAAAATATTACCCCTTTCAGGTAACTAAGTGCCAGCCACATCAAATGACTTGCTAAAGGCAACACAGCTAGGCAGTGGCAGTTCTGGGACTAGAACCCAGCTCTTCTTCCTCCTATAGCTGTATTCTTCACTAAACCATGCCACTGCTCTCTACGCATGGCCCGGTGTTCTCCAGAAACCTTGAAACCCCAGTGGGATCCTGTCAAATGGAGAGCAGATCCTAAGTCTATGTCTCACTTCTTTACAAAAATGTCTTGAGAGACTTCACCAAGCCTCCATTTGCCCTCCTTCTTATGCACTTGACATGAGGGTGTATATTCAATCGCTCCTATGTTCCCCAAAAGGAAGCTTTCTGTAACAGGGCTTAGGGTCACACAGCCTCCAGACCCTCTTTATTATCAGCCATTCCATCTGAGAATCTACATCCCTGCTCCCCAACACCTATAGCCTCAGTCTCTCATTAAAGGCCCAGAGCAGTGCTTCCCAACTGGCAACATGCATGTGAATCACCTGGGGATCTTATAAAAAATGCAGGTCCTGAGGCAGCTGCTCTGGGATGGGGCCTGAGGTTCTACAGTTCTCACAAGCGCACAGGTCGTGTTGATGCTGCTGGTCTAGGGAGTAGTAAGATTCTAGAGAAAGTTGTCTCAGAGGATGTAACTTAAGGAATTGAAGGAAGCGGGGAGGGAGAAAGGGAGGGAGAGTGACAAAAAGACAGACAGACATAGAGGAGGGGAGAGAGGGAGAGAGACCAAGCTGGGATCAGCAACTTGGGCAGAATGCTACAGTCCTGAAGTGGAGGCCCAGAACATTAAACCTGGGGGAAGAGCATAAGAAATTAACTTGCCACAACTTCTGGTGCCCTGGCTTTCCTTTCGTCATCTTGGCTGACCCATTTTGTGAAGCAAAATTCAGGCTAACTGAGGCAAAAATCACACTCAAATAGACATCGATGCCAACATGGTTACAGCCCAGTTAGCTAGCACCTTGGCAGTCATCCCTAGGATGAAAACCTGGGGAAAGCCTCTGCAAACAAGCCATTGCAAAGCTCAGTGTCATTTTAGTGATGGCCAGTGTTACATATGAAGACAGTTTTAGGATAAGAAGACCATTTTTTTTCCCCTGTGAAAGTAGAAACTGCTTATTAAAAACAAAAAAAAAAAAACTAAAAATGTTGATATATTTCAAAAGAACTGTCCAATTTATTTTTCAATTTGATTTCAGGAAATACCTAAAATAGGTAGTTTGGAGCCACGTTGGATTCTTTCTTACGAAGAGAGAAATGTGGACAGAGTGGCGTGAGGGTGCTGAGTTTTCCCATAGTGGAAAAGAAAAAAAAAAATGGCCTCGTGAATTAATGACCAAGTTGATTCCCCCATATGGTGATCCTAGAAGGGTTGAGATAAGGATTTGTACTATGGGTATTGTTCTGGGCCTGAAAAATATAGGAATCCATGGTGTAGTACGATTGATCTGAGAGAATGCGGGATATACTCTGCTCTACATGGCTTCACTTCTCCTTTCTGAGCAGGGACACCTAAAGAGCAAATGTCTGTTTAATAAATGATGCCAAGAGATCATCAATGGTGCCCTTAGGAGGGATGGATATATGTGTAAATATGTAGGTCATGGAGGGAAAGACAAGGAGGAAAAGCCTCAGAGGATGCCAGAAAAAACCTGACATGTGTCAGTCGAGGCACAAAGCAGGCTGAGCAGGAAATAGAAACCTCTCTGCTGTCCTCAGCCAGTGTGGTGATGTAACGTTAGGGGAATGTTGGTCTTTGCTCACTCATCTTTTATTTCCCAAGAGGTTCTGGAATATCTCCTAGTGACTTCTGACTTGTTACCTAGTTATTAGGCTTCCAGTTCTCTGAGTTGGCCTAGATCTGTCAGGGTCTATACAGGGGCGCAGAGATGGAGAAGCACCCTGAGATTTTACTTTTATTGCTATTATCAGAGCCAGCCTTAGCAGTTTATGGTCCCAGTAATTTTTCAGGAAGAATGACTCAAGTGCAAATCAGCTGCAAAAATATGATCTAGGTGGAATCTAGTTAACAAAAAGACATCCTTGAAAGAGAAGGGGGTCATCTCTCATTTGCCATGGCTGAGAGTAGAGTCCGGGTTACTGGACTCATTGTGGGAACACACGCCTCAGATCCAGCACCCACTGGGGGGCAGACGGCCTCTTGATGACCTGCCGCCTGTTTGGGTTACTGACCACCCACTGGAAGTGGGGCCCCCAGGATGCCTGGGCAGGTGACCAACCATCAAGCATTCCAGATTCACTGCACCCTAGGGCTCACTCGGCTCATTGTTTTAAGAAATTCTTTCCCATTTCCTCATTGCTGTTCAGAAATACTTCTGGCTTCTTTGGTTTCTTCAATATTTTTGAAATCCTTCTTATTTTCAAGACCTCAAAATGCCTGAGGTTAAGGAAAAAGATTTCCATTTTTCCTCTAATACAGTTCTGTTTAGTCTTCCTAGAAAATATTAACTTTGTTCAGGCCGCCCATTTCAAAAGAATCAATTTTCCTTCTGCAGCCATAGACATTCTTGCTGGGGAAGTGTTCCTGCTTTAAAGAGTTCCTCTGATGTTAAGTGGAAAACTTTCTAGATAACTGAGGGGGTGATGTTCTTTGTTCCCAGAGGACCTTTCCTTCAGTGGTAATATCTCATCTACCCCCATTTAAAAACAGGAAACAGAGGCATTGAGAGATTAGGTGGCTTTCCCAAAGTTATGCAGGTGGGAAGTGACATCCCATGGCCAATAGAGAGAGAAGAGGGTTGATCTTTCTGTCATAGACATAAGCTTTCCCCAAACTTCTGAGACAGATATGACTCTGGACCGCAGGGATTCCAAGGAAGAGGTTTACCCACTTCCATGTTAGTCATTCTGCTTCTTTGGGGCTTTTGGCCTTCAGATGCATCTTTGACATTCTTCTTACAGATACTTTTATTCCAGGGCCAGCAGTAGATAATGATCATGTCATTCCTTTGGGATAAAATTCAGCGTTAGCTCATGGGAGAAAGAAGGGTCCCACTAGTGGAGAGGGCAAGGATGGGGAGGATGGATGCGAGCTTGAAAAGGAGACATGAAAGTGGCCTTAAGTTTTCAGAGTTGGGGGCAAATGAACTCCCTGCACTAGTTAATGCCTCCAAAAGGAGGGCAGCATCAACATCTCAATCAGG